AGGAGGATGTCCACTTCCTGGCAGGGTTGCCATTGTTTTAAATGCCCTCCACTTGTATACTGTTTGCCTAGCAGTGGATTTATGGAGTCAGAATCTTCTTGAAATAGCTTTATAAACCTGCCCAGATTGATGAGCATCCACTACTTTTTTCCTCAGTTCTGCTGATGTTTCCTTAGTTCGAGGCATGATGCTAGACTCATAGGAAGAGTAACTGACCTGCTTTCTTGAAATTACTTATGTTTGTTCCTCCCTAACACGTCATTTCAGATCTTCAATTTCATTGGTTATCTTGGTTGACTGGTTGACAAACACTCTGTCATTGACCCACCTGATCCTGCTTTACCTTTACTTATTTTTGCACCTGCACAATTTCTGTATACTGGGTGTATTATTTTGCTGCATGGACATTTTCTTTCAAAACACTCAAATTGGTGGATAATTATACTTTATTTTAATTAGGAAGTGACCAATTCTGATTAAAGTTCAGGTGGGTAGCTGCGTCAGCATGCGTAGGCTGCAAAGGAACAAGTAATAGGTTTATTCCATGCTGAAAAAAGAAGAAAGAGAACACAAAGTTTCGGCTGTGGAGCCTTCACACCTGAAGAAGGCTCCACAGCCGAAACGTTGTGTTCTCATTCTTCTTTTTTTCAGCATGGAATAAACCTATTACTTGTTCCTTTGCAATTCTGATTAAATATGCATTTTGTGGTTAAAAAACAAACAAATCTCAGATTATGCACAAACTTTCAGGCATGACTGTTAACTAAGCAGTTTAATGTCACCAGAAGGTTTAAAACATTAACATCTGTGGTACACATACTGTACGAGTGAAAGGGGTTTTGGTGTTTTCATAGAATGCAAATAGACAAAAACTGCTGGGAAATCATTGAAAATGTTTCATTTAATGAGGACAAGTGTGAAATCGTTCTAAGAAGAGTGTAGTCAACCACTGTTACTGAAAACTTCCAGCTAGTGGCAGTATCAAGACAAATTTATGTTCTAAACTGTTTCTTGATAATTATTAGTAAGTAATATATCTTGATATAAGTAGTAAGTGCTTCTTACTACTTATAATTCATTCATAGTGTGATGAAAAAAGTGGCTTACTAAAGTATTCACCAGTGATCCTGTGGTGTCCCATTTTGTTGAATCACAAGACATGTATACGCTGTTTGTAAACAAATCCAGAGAAAAATCGGAAATGAAAAGATGCCTTCAATAAGATCTTGCAGCAGTGGCTCCTGTACTGCAGGAGGAGGATGAGGGCCAGCAGAAGTGCTTGTCCTACATTTGACTCCACAAATCACAGCTAGTCATCTTGCAAGATTCACAGTGCTTTACAGGAGAGTTACTGTAGTTCCAATTGGAGAAGCAACTTATATAATAATAAATACATATGTATTTATAATAAATGTCATTTTTAATCCAAATATTAATTATCTATGGCAATACATTACAAAAAAGGCTTATCTCCCAAATTTTTTTTCATTTCCCTTCCCCCCCATTTAATAAGAAACATTCTGATTCCATTAAGCTTCAGACATAAAAAACACCATATCGTTGACAGTAATTAGATAATTACAAAAATCCTAATAATTGCGATCATTACAATAATTGATTCATAATCAATTCATGATTTATTATTAACCTTTTGTTCCGAATGACATTGATTTCTCAAATAATATGTTCGCTGCAAATAATAAAAATAACACAAGTTTTATCAGCTATGCTCCTGTCTGACAGTAATGATTTTTGTAAGAAAATCATAATATGTAAGAAAATGTTGGGCCTTCTGACCTTATCTTTCCAAAACATACCAAAACATACTACATGGCCATGATGCACCGAGACTTTTCCAAATTGTGAGGGTCACTAGGGTCTGAAATACGTTACCCAGCAATGTAGTTGAAACTAATATCCTGTCTTCTTCTAACAAAAATGATTAATGAAATCCCTGATCATTACATGAATGAGAACCTGTATTAGTTAGCTGCTAACTAGCAAATGGGCTAGGTGGACCAGATAGCCACCTCTTGCTTGTAACCTTTCTTATGTTCTTAAAGTATGGGCAAGATGCCTCTCTGTGTCCCAGTTTGACAAAATAAGGACATTAGAGGCAACTACAGTTTTCGTCTTAAAATATTCTATTGTGGGAAGAAAAAATGGGAATAAGGTCAAGTTATCAATTTAAATGCATAAACTCC